TTAACTTAATTCGAATAGCTTTTTGTTACTACTAGTAAGGCACTTGTTACTAGAAGCGATGCACTTGTTCCTAGTAGCTTATTGTTTCTAATAGCTTCTTGTTTGTGAACGTGTCCGGATCCTACGGGCCCCGTGTCACAAATTCTGAGGCTCAGTCCGTAGATGGACTTCTGATCCAAGATGCTGCTGTGCCATTGTTGGGAGCCTGGGAATTATTGGGAACCACCAGTTCCGGAGCAAAGTGCTTCAACACCTGGACCTGTTGGACCTTTTGGGTTGTTTCGACGGTCAACGGCAGCCTCCAGGGACTCCAGGGTGTTTGACCCACTTTGATCAGGCTGAAGCATTTCGGATGGAGCCAGAGAGACATGGAGGAGCAAGAAGATGCCTCCTTCACTTTGCTTGGCGCTTGGTAGAAGCAGATCTTAGGTGTGAAGAATAACCTTCTAGGGCCCTATTTGTGTATTTGTATGAGGTGGGACCCACCAGATACTGCACCTGCTAGAATCTCAGACTGGCTTAGCTGAGTCGCGTGATGTTGGCAGTCCTTCAGATTGTTCTTGGTGAGTCTGGTTCATATACACGATGTTTGTTGCAAATCCATTTGCAAAGAGCACAAGGTCCTCAACAGCTTCTTCCACTTGACGATTCAGCCGCCACCGTCCTTCGCCTAATGGAAAATCTTGTGACACCGGACTTCCATGAGCGCAGGGTAGAACCTCCAAAGAGCGAGGGGAGATAGTCCTTGAGACATTGGAACGCCAAAGCAGGGAAATGGTTAAGCCTTATCATCTAAATCTGCAGTGGCAAACGGTAAAGAAAGCTGCAATCACGTTTAAAGCAAGGATAAATGAAAGATAATCTACAAAACGGCTCAAGAAGAAAGTGCAGTCAGAAGCCAACAGTGCATACACAAACAGTCGAAGTTGCAAGACCGAGGGAAGCGATCTTTGCATACTAAGTTACTACTGTAGAGATCGTTTGAGAAGCAAGTCTTCTTTGCATCAATCTTGCCAAGCCTCGCTCCCCAACAGAAGAACACCAAAGATGATGGACAAATATGAACAAAAGGGTGAGCCACAAAAAGATATCAACGATTCAATGATAGAATCCATATCATGTTCAACCTTAGAAAGTAGCCCAGAGTGTCTTGCAATCATATTTGTCTCCTTTGATGTGCAGACTTGTCACCGTATAGGCTGCTCTATAAATTTGCGCTCTCCTTCTGTGCAAGATCTCCAAAAACATCTAGTGCTGGCATTTTGAACCAAGAGCTAGTCTGGGGTCATCAGCTCATTGATGGTATGAGCCACGATCATAGATTCCTCCTGCCAATCAGAAAAATGGTGCAAGTTCCCATGGTACAACTTCAGGATCTATTGAAATTGAGATAAGTGTAGTACAAACGGTCTCCTAGCATCAAATGTCATCCATTGTCTAGAACGCGGAGCTTGAAGTGACTTGTTTGCCGGTCAACTCGGACGTTCGCTTTTGCGGCAGCAGGGGTACAAAGCAGCGCATGGCTCACAAGCTTATGGGTTGACCTGACGGCCACAAATCTGTCACCTCGACCTCGAGTCACTATATTCCTCTTATTCCCGGCAGGGACTATATATATATTATTAGTGAATTATTAGTGTGGGGGGAAGTGTTCCATATATATATATAGATCATGCGGGTTACATAAGCCATAAGCAGCATACACAAAAGCGACAACTTGTGCAATTGAACACTGTGAAGCCTTAGACCTATCAAATCCGTGCTGGTAGTAGCTCATCTCACTAAAGCGACTTGCTTGGCGACTTGGGGGGTTCCCTTTTGTTTTGTTAAGACTCTTTGCCAAAGCCAGATGCTAGTAGACTATGGTAGGCGCAGGAAAAGTTTCCTTCCTATGCCGCTGAAAATTCAGGCCAAATCCACCCGGACCGGGTGATCCTGTTTGGTCGGCCGTGGCCTGAAATTGAAGAGCAACGCTTCTTCGCTTCGATCGTGTTCTTTCCACTGCAGAGGTCATCATCTCCTTCGATGCAGAGTTGCCCTTTGAGCTCGACTGGGACTAAGCCACAGATGAATCCGACGTTTGAGTATGAGACTGATGAGACCTGGTCAGGTGTGGCAATCTGTAGAGTCGGGCCCCAAGTTTCAGCTCTTGCATGCCTCAATCATACAACAGCGTCACTGCAATGTCCTCAAAAAAGACTGTGCAACTTCTCAGTTAGTTTTCCAAGGTTGGATGTGAAGAACGCCTTCACAAGTGTCTCCAACAAATGGTCAGAGCGCGCACCGCCGGTTTGTAGAGAGAGAGAGAGGGCTTGCAGTGGTTTGCTTGGGATTGTGGTTGATGCCAGCATGACTCCAATTACTATTACTCTAATAATATCTAATCAGTTTTTTAATTACTAAAGCAACTGTGCAAAGCCATTTGTCGATCGGCCTCAATAAAAAGGACTCAAGGACTGGCAGATAATGTTTAGCTATGTTTAGCTACGTCGGAAGCCAGGATTGGTTGGCCTGGCGGTGAGCAAGAGATGCTGGAAGCTGTCCACAAGGTCTGGTGGGTCGTCATGTTCTAAAATGAAACAACCTTCAGGTATTAATCAGTGTTGATCTACCAAAAGCTGGAGATGATCAAAGATCATTCATCTTCCAGACCTGGGAGAGGCTGTTGCAGCCAACGGAGAAGCTGCTGTAGCCAGAGGGCTAGCACATAGCAAGGGGCCCGGAGCGGTTTCGTGACATGTTGTGGTTGGGCATGAAATGGCTGCGCAAACATCAAACCAACATTAAATGATTGTTTTCGGGAAAGAATAGCGGCCATGCGTGTTTCAATGTTTCGCGGATGATTAGTGCTGTTTATATGTTTTATTATGTGTGTATGTTCTTCCAGCACTTAGACTTGTACTTAGTCTTGCAGGGCTATCGAGAGAAACCATGGTGTTTTTTGGGCTGATCCTTTTCGCCCCTCGAGGTTCAGCCACGCGGATTGCAGATCGACTAATGTCCGCTGTGCAATGCAGAGTGGGTGGCCTTACAGGGTCCAAAGGGTCCAGACCAATAAGACGATGCTCGGCTTGAAGCCGCCAGCAGTGAGGAAACCGTTATCCAGAGAAGCTATAGATATATCAAGATATTACGAGGATTCGATTGGTTTGTTTTAATAGAAGCCGCTGTTCATACAAAGGTATAGGAGTGCCGTGGACAAAAATATCGTCATGCGTTGTGGTATCCAGGTGATGGGGCTCATCACACATGTTTGAATTGACATTCTCGCTTTCTATTCCACCAGCCTCCGACAGGTGGTTGCAGAGCCAGAGATGGCGTCACAAGCACAAGGTGCCATACCAAGGAGGTTGCAGTCCAGCCGACAGAAATCATCAAGGCAAGTTGGTAAGTTTGACCTTTAAAGTCATCATTGCTCACCAGATTTGCTGTATACTCAAGAACAAAAACCTACTAATACGCCAAATCCTGATGAAAGCTGAGGAGCCACCCAGCGAAGCAAGGTGTGGCCTTCGGTTTCCTGAAACGTGATGGAACGGGCCAGTTTGCCAGATGCGTTGCTCCTGAAATCACTTTAATGTGTCTCTTAAATGTGTAATAGTGTATATAGGGTATCCGTTTGCTGCCAGATGTAAAAGGGTAATGAGGTGCGTTGTTTGTGTTTGGGCCATGAGCTGACAGCTGAAGTAGGAATGTCAGATTCTGGTCGAATCTCAGGGGGGAAGCGGCATCCGCGACCTGGTTGAGATCAAGATGAACGAGGCTGCAGTCGTAAAAATAGCATTCCAATAAGCCAGAGAGTCCAGCCATGTCCAGCCTAAGGCAGCGAGAGAAACATTTCCCGGTACAGTCATGGATAGAAGCTGGCAGTTTGAGGACTCCTTCGCACCGTTTGTTCCGAACTAATCCAATATCTTTGTTTCCCCTTTGTATGTTTTGCTTGTGCCTTCATTCAGAATCTTTGGTGCCCGAAAAGGCTTGGATGCCAGCTGTGCTGGTCCGGGAAGAGCCGCCACTGTACGTCTCGCTGACCACCGGAGCCTTGGTTTGGGCCTCAAACGAATGGCTGCTCAGCCAGTCGGACTGAGTCGAAAAGACCCGCAGAGCTGCCCAGTCAGCTGCTGGGCTGGAGATGGCACCAGGTATGAGTTTGGTTAGCTAGTAGGTGGAGACCATCGCTACTAGTAGCAAGAAGCTACTAGTAACAAAGTAGTGATTAGTGAGTTTGCAGTTTGAATGCCCAGGCCACTGGGAAGCATAGGACAATGGCAGGTTTCGAAGGGTTCGGAGCCCAGCCCAGTTTCAAGAATATCATTTGTTGGCCATTAGGGTCTTAGGTTGACAGTTGAGAAGTGAAGGGTCATGTGCGTTGTGTGACATTCTATTTGATATTCTATCAACGCTTTTCTAATTTTCAGTATTTGTTGCATTCCAAGTGGTTGAAAGACTTTTCTCGCTGCTGATCGTACACTGTTGAAACCAGATGAAACCAGCTTCCTCAGAATGTTGCAAGAAGCAGCAAATGTTTCGGGATGACTGAAGATGGAGTTCGATAAACTACTCGACTTGGGATGTCTCGCTGTCACAGTGCTTTGATGCACAAGGCCACGGCTGTATCCTGTCCCGCCAGTTGAAGCGCAAGTGCAGACACGTGCCGTGCTGTGCCTAGCCATATCCAACAGGGCAGAGAATTCTGTTATTCTTCTTATGTTTGCTGGACACATGCGGACGTCATTGCGAGAGAGAGAGAGAGGGGGAGAGAGGAAGATACTGTATTCGTTTAGAGCATAGGATGGCAAACTCCTAGATCGTTGATATATTACCACCTTACGCAGGAGGACAAATGAAGAAGACTGCAGCTTATGGCCATTCTTGTTTCAGGATTTGCAGTCTTTGGAGTGGGACACTTGGTGTGGTGAAGTGCTGAAGGAATTGGCTTTGGAGCTATGTGCTGGCATGTGTTGAAGCCACACAGTTGAGCTTTGTCGGATGAAAATGCAGCTCCATGTCTTGAGGGCATGAATCTGCTAGATATCATTGAACAGGGTTCGGAAGATGTGAGACTGCTTTGAGTGTCAAGTGGAACTGCCGTGGCATTTGGTGTTTAATTTCTTTCGAATCTGTTTTTTGCTGCTCACCGTTAGCCTGGCACGTTGGTTCGACCTCCAGGCGTGGAGCTGAGTCTTCGCGGATTACTCGGAGATTCAGTTGGGGGCCCCAAGGGCGGCCCCAAACCAGTGAAAGTCAAGCGGGAATGGACAAGGTCGTTGTGCTTACTGGTCTTAACATCTGGCGAATGGCGCTTGAACTGTGTTGACTTGCTTAATATAATTTAGAATGTTGAGTTGTGAACAATTGGCCTCAAAGCCTTCCCAAAATAATTATCAAGAAAACACTTGAGCATGGCACTCTCGGGCATGAAATATTCGCTGGCTTAGCAGTTCTCCGACCAGAAGCTTCTTCACAGATGAGAGATGATCAAAGCAAAATGAAGACGAGATCATTGGAATGCACTATGCCATAATGCACGTGTTAAATCAATCGTTCGAGCAACGTGCTTGAGATTTGGTCCAAGGTGTTGACTGTCCAAATGACTCGCCCACCCTGGCCGCTTCACCTTCACCGCCAAACGTGCCACGTGGGCTGGAACCCCCCCCGGGGTTGGAGCTGCCCAAGCCAACCCTGGTGTGCCTGGCCAATTTTTGGTGTAGGTGTTCAGCCTGGCGTTCCAAGCATTTGGTCCACCCTTTCTACGATCCTTCCATCTATGTTTTTCAAGAGCTGAAAGTCTTTGTATTGCCCGACTGTGGAAAAGCGAATGAAAGGCTGAGCTACGATTTCCAACATGTGTTTTCCTACAATATAGTGTGTGTTGTGAAAGTGAGATTGCATCGGATGCAAGTGTTGTAGACACCTTATTTAATGACAATGACGGCCAAACGGAAAGGAGAACAGCGGATGCTTTGTGCCAGGCATTGGGTCAACTAACCTGGAAATTGATTTGTCCTAATGTCATCTGAGGTCTTTTGGCATGGTATGCCCGTCAATGATGCATTTCGATTTGCCAGGCATACAGCCTGGGTGGCAGCAGTTCCAGCACATCGTCACCAACAGTCAGTGTCTCTTCCATGTTTGCAAAGGTGAAGCTGCAGCGTGTCTAAAGAACATGGTCGGCATGTTTGAAACCATTCTCTCAAACAGTACAGGGAGCCCGAATGGTTCAAGCCCCATGTCATGCCGGTTGAAGTCCTGATTGGGGCTTGTTTCTTCAATTGGATGCTGTCATTTGATGCCCAAAGCTTGAGGAACATATTTATACTATACCGTATATAAGTATATAGGTATAGTATGTCATGATGGGCCATGAACGGCCCATAAAACAAAGCTTTCAGTGCGTCGGAGTCGGCGCTTAAGTTTGTTTTGATATCAAGTACGTGCTATCCTGCTTTTCAAGAAGCATGTGTTCTATGTGTTGATGATTGTTGATGCAGGATCTTTATTTAAGATTGCAGGGAAGTTAAGAGATGCTCAGTGGCAGGTCAAGGGTGCGACTGCAAAATACACCATTTCCTGCCAAGTTGCGGCCAGGTCTTTTGCGAGGAAAAGACGCGCGAGTGGATGGGTGCTCCTGGGTCTCCAGCTCTTGGACGACGGTGGGACTTCCAGAGCTTAGCAGTAGCAGCAAGGCAGGGACTGGAGCGGAGTGAGAGGAGCTTGAGATTCTGAATCTATAGTATGGTACTCCATGGAGGTACTCCATGGTACTTCCATGTACTGGGTTAGCAGAGAACATTAAATGGGAGGGAGTGCCATTTCCCTCCTCCATGATCATGCTGACAACAGGACCGTAGGCATGCCTGATGGGCAGGCCAATAAAGATGAATTTCAAAGACAGAGACAGACAGACAGACAGACAGACAAGCAAACCTGGAACATCCTGGAACTGATTCTGCCGATTGGCCAAATTTGAAGGTTAGGATCGCCTTGTAGATGGTAGAGTTGCTTTGCTTGGGATAGGAGATACACGCGGAACTTGCACTCTAGATACTTGTTGAAATAGGCTCAATCACCCAATTTGAGAGATTGAGAGGAACCCGACAGTGATTATATAGGTCCTGTGGCATATTGGCTTGGACGTTCAGAGACCACTGCTTCTTGTCATGTACTTGCAACCTGAGTGACATGTTTTGTGAAGGTCTACTACGAACTGCATATACAATCCCATGACACACCGCAAATAGGCTGGAAGCGTGCAAGAGATGTTCGGTGTTGGATGATTGCCTCACACTGACCATGGTGCGTTGCAGGTTTCCATCGAGTTGGACACTTTCGTTTCGTAGAGATTCCGAACACAGCAATACAACTACAGTGATTAGTTACAGCAATGGGTTACCGATTTGTCGTCAGATGTACGATGTACTTGGAATTCTTTCTTCAACTTGTGAAAACCGTGAAAACCACTGTACAATCTCTGCTTGAGCAAATTGCTGGAGGAATGAGCTTGTAAATGCTTTGGATATTCCCCAGTAGACGGCGCAGCCGTCCTCTCCGAGTCCCTCGACCCTGGCCTTGGCGAGGGTCACGGTGAACCGTGGCCTCTGTTCTTGGGGAAAAGTCTGCACCAGCTGGCTGGGAAATGCCTCGCTTCCAGCATGTCTGGTGATGTTATTTATATACCTGGTTTCACAACGGTTCACGCATGTCTTGCACGTATTTCCATGGAATTCTCCACCGATCCACGTGCGGGTGCCGAGAGGTTCCGGTGCCACAGCCAGGCTGGGCTTCAGAGAAGTTCCGCTTCTTTGGCGACACCTGGCTCTACGGCGTTGGGGACGACTTGGAGAGCTGGGGCGTGGATGGCCGAGCGCTCAGATGCGGCGCTCAGATGCGCCGAGATCTGCCCTCCTCTGGTTTCGATGCTTGTGAAATGAGCTAGCTTTTGATGCAGGTCCTGCCGGATGCGGTCGGAACTAAACTAGAAAGTCAATCTGACATTCAGTGTACACCTCCTTGTTTGGACCAAGAGGCAATGCAGCCTGCAGCTTCGAGCACCCACGACACTGGCCTCTCAAAAACAAGATCCAAAATACGTGTCCCTCTTCAAAAACCCTTCATCAAGGGTTGAGGATGATCAACTCAGTTCATCAGATCCGAAAGGCCTACAGTAGATGGGAAAGGTGCCAACGAGCAGTCGAGCAGTCTATTTTTCGATGCTGAACGGCTGCCGAACATGGAGGTGCGAGGCAAAAGATTTGGCATGGTGGAGAGGCTGGGGTGGAATTTCGACCACATGGCAGCATGGGACTTAAATGTCCCTCAGTCGTGTGGAACTATATAGGTCTATGTTGTTATTGCTCGCGTTTGCAGTGTGGCCATTGCAACACGAATTCAGATATCCTTTGGATTCGAGGTCAATAGTTGACCACATTGTCACATTGTCGGTTGATCAAGTGTGATTGCTTCAGCCATACATAGTGTGATTCCTGCAGGCTGGGACATTTCCATCGTCCTGGTCAAAGGAGGTTGGTTGGCTAGTTTTTTGCCTGCTTTTTGTTGAGTGCACAAAAATCCTGCCACTCCAAAATTACCTCATGCTTGAAAAACTGGATCGTCAACGTGCGGTTGCACCCACGTTCAACCACTCAGGTCGTGGTGGGTTGTGCTGCAGACCTTCCTTCGGGGACTCTGCAATTCAGCACCAACGGGGTTTGGGCTCCTCCAACCTTCACCGGAGTTCAATGCGTGAAGGCCTTAGGAGAAGCCTTACACCAGGATCATCCAATGGCTGTCCAATGGAAGTGCACAATTTGTCACAAGAAGTGCGGGGTAGTCCAATACAGACTCCTCGGATGGTCCAGGTATAGGTTTCTCATAGTTTCGTTTTTAAGCCCGTTCATAGGCTCGTTCAAACTCTCATAGATGCAGAGAATTTCAACGCAGTGTTGCCATGAGGCATCTCTCTATCCTGCCGTCTCTGGGCAAATGAGTGCATCCTTCAAGATCCGGCCAGAGGACCAGATTCAGATTGTTTACAGACACTCCGACTCACTAACATGGAACTGTTGGTAAAGGAGAGCAGTCTTACCAGGGACCATATTATTCCATTTCCATATTAGTGACCCTGAGGGTTGCAGCTGAGCTGCAGCTGCTCAATGGCAGGAATGGCAGTATGGGCCACCAGATAGCTCCTACAAATCGCCTGCAGCTTGTGCCGTTGGCTCAGAGAGTCTCCAAAGCAAGACCGGAGCCAGAGTCTGACTCAGTCCTTCCTTTGCTGATCTGAACCTGCTTACTAGCGATGGCCTCCAACCTAATAGCGATGGCCTCCAACCTAATAGAACTGGCCAGTGCATGCAGCATGAACATGCATGAACCAGGCACATTACATCCTGCTCAGGCACAATGCCCTCAACCTTTGTCATCGCCTATACGCTTCCCCGATGACTGGGCCATGCCCTCAACGGTCACAGCTTTATTATGTTCATGGCATGGGTTCATGAGTTGAGAAGTTTTTAAATTCAGTATTCACTGGGGGTGGTTCAGGTAGGGATTGTTTCAAAACCCGACCGCAGCGGAGGTTCTGGCAAAAGGTTTGCAGCATTTGGCAGAGCGACAGAAGGTGACGACTGTTGGATGACATCCCAAAGACACTTGTTTTTGTTATTTACTGTTTCCTTGTATACCTGTGTCACATCATGCCACATCTAACTTGCATTTTCTGTAGACCATGATGAGAAAGTTGAAAGCTGCCAGCTGATTGACGACGGATGCTGGCTGTGGTAAAGGACATGTGAGAATCATTGAGAATCATCGTTTGTAATGAAGATGGTGGGTGTCAAGCGTTTTGGCAGGTCGATCTGCTGACAACGCTCCAATTGCAATGCACCGCTGTATTGTCTGAGCTTCAGCACGAACACGACTCCCACCCTTGGCGAGGATAGTGGAAGTTCAGTTCGATGTAATCTTTAATGATACTGGGCCCAAGTGCCTAAAAGGAACTCACAATCCCCATCATGCAACGCCGTCTTCGAGGTGACCAGAGGTGACCTCAACCTTGCGGTTTTTAATCAAAAAGGAATGCCGCATGCCACCATGCTTTTCCGCCCCAAAGACCTTGGAAGAATACTTTTTGGAACAAGACTTTGGAGAGGAAGCCATGCCTCTGAGTATCTCTGAGTGAGGCCGAGCGCTGATGATTTGCAGGCCGACCGCAAAGCTCTTAGTGCGACCTGACGCCATTGGTGTTGGCGTGGTGGTCGCGATGGGGTCTGAGGCCTGAAGCTCAATAAGACAGTCGTGGTCGTACGGCACCAAGTTGGTTGGCCCGGAGTCTTCTCGCCTTGCGTGGTTCTATGTGGTTCTATAGCCTTCTGTTGAGAGAAATGGAACAACGACTGACTACCTCAACAAGGAAAGGCCTATCAAGGCATGTTTCCTGCCTGGCCAAGCACAGAACCAGGATGCATCGGATGAGCTCTTCGGCTTTGTCCTTGATGCGGACCGACCACGGCCACCATTTTGGACACCCACGGCTTTCATGCTATCAAACCATGATGAGTTGCGAGGACGGCCAACCGCGAGCCAGCGAGGAGTGGGTGGCGGAGACGTCCGTGGCCCAGACGAAGCTCCCTGGCCTTTGCTGGCTGGGGCTCTTAACGAATTGAATGAGGCTAGACACCCTGGGGCTCACTGTCAGCACAGCAGCTGGAGCAGCTTTGCGATTGCACGGCCGACCAATTATTTTCAACCACCATTCTGTGGCAGTTTGTTGCTCATGGATGATGGAATTGGAGGGAAGCGTGCAGTTCCATTGGATGCCTTGGCATTTTTTAAGGTGGTGGTTCTAGGTTTGGTTCCTTTACAGCTGCTGCGCTCTTCAGTGCCAGGCTTTGGCAAGCTGAAGCTGATGTTCAGTCAACCCGACTGTCAGCAAAGCTCCAGGACCTTTGTTCCCATCAGGCTGGGGCAGTTGCCTTGTTGTTTCTTGTTCTTGCACGACCCTCAGCACTTCATTTGCCCCACGCGACTCGTCAGCCGCCTCTGATAGGTCACTTTGGTCAGCGACTCGATGCCCTCCTGGGTGCTACGGCTGGGTACAATGATGTGCGTGAACCCAGAGTCTCGGAGATCCGGGACCCAGGAGTGCGTGGACACCTCTCCTCGTAGCTTCTTGTTCCTAGTAGTAGGGCCAGGAGCGTCCCATTCGTAGCGTCCGATCGCTCCTAGCAGCGATGCCCTTTGCTCCTAGTAGCTTCTTGCCACTATCAAAAACATGTTTCGTATCGAGAGAAGTGCTGATTCCGATTAAGAAGCTATTTTTGATGCTCCGGCCGAAGCTGGTTTCGGAGGCGGGTGAAGCACTGCACGTCATGGAATTTACAAGGTGATTGGCTCTGCAAGACGGCACGGGATAATTTTGGAAAGCTGTCGCGAGCAGTCGTTTTGGTCTGGAAGCTTTCAAGAGCAGATACAGATGCACCATGATGCACCAAGGCCTCAGCTTTTTGATAGACACTGTCGCGAAGTGCTCCTACGGTTTGGTAGCCAAGGGATCAAAACGCACATGGCACATGGATCAACCAAGATGCGAACAGATCTATTGAAAAAATGCTGCATGTACACTGTAGATGCACGACAACTGGCCACCACATACACATACATGCACCACCTGACATGTACCATTTGCACCTGGAAAGATTGTCATAAATAGCTTGCTGGCAGTCCCAAGGTTGGTTCGTTTATGTTACTTTCGTGAACCAAGCCAACAGTGACTTGATCTCGATCCAATCATTGATCACCAGTCAACAATCAACAGAACTGATCGATCTACTGTTGGAACAGTCTCCTTGCTCTCATTAAGCTCCCTCAGCTCATCTCAGCTCTATCCAGATTCTCGCAGACAGGCAAAATCAAACGAAACCACATCAGTTGATCCACCAAACCAAATTCAAAGGCAGTTCGATGTCGTTTTTACTTCGTCTCACTTGAGCAGTTTCGCCGGAATCGTTCGTTCCTTCAGCTTTTAATTCTAATTCTAATAGCTTTTTTGTTACTAGTAGTAAGGCACTTGTTACTACTAGCGTGTTCCTTCAGGTCTTCGGCCTTTGGATTGCCTTTCGCAGTTCATGACCGTCAGATACGCGAGGCGCCACTCAGACGCCTGAGTCACGGCGCTCGGTGTCCGTGTCGCGTCGGTCCAGGTGAATCGGCGCTACAGTGAGGTGGCGTCACTGAGTCGTTGAAATCTGCAATCGAATCCGGGAAGCCACAGAAAGTTGGTTGGATTGTGTAAACATGTGTAAACATCATCAATCAACCATCAATCAACCTCTTTAGCCTGTTTGTAGTTGAAAGTGACATCTCGCAAAGACATGCTTTTTACGTGTGCGGTGTTTGAGGTCATGAAGGCCGCGGAAGGCCGTGTGGCTCAAGCAAAGAATCTTGGAGACCAGAGAGCACTGTTCCGCTCCCAGTGCCTGTATGTGCACCATCCTCCGGTGTATTTGCGACGTGTAGTTCCTGGAATTGGCAAACAACATTAAGAACATCAACGAAATTGAAGGTCAAAACTACAAACTGGCTGGCTTTTGGTGCTAATCGTTAGAGTTGGCCTCACGCGGCTTTATTTGCCAGGTCTCAGGCATACGAGCATTTGTTCGAGCTTACAAAGCAGATTTCGCAAGACCCAGAGGCGGACATGCCTGTCACTGTTCGAAGGAATGGTTCAGTTAATGTGCTGCTTCAAAGAATATCAAACGCACCATAGAAGGCACCACATATATATATATATGATTATATATATATATATATATGCTAGCCCCCCCCAAACCAGCGCAGCGTTTTCAGAAAAACAATATTGCTTGTATGTGAGAGTTGTCCTTGATTTCAGATGGTACAACACTGCAGTGCATGAGCTGAAACCATGAACGTAGCAATGGTAGATTTTTGTATCTTGTCAACATGCCGAAGAATTTGCAAGGCCAGATGGAGCAGAGATCTCAAATTCCTTGGCGGACTCAAAAAAATCAAAAGTTTCAAAAGCCCATAGTCACAAAACACTAGCAGGCTCAGAAAATCAATAGTGTTAGCATCTATAGGGGCTTTTTGGAGGAAATAAATTGTTGATTTGTTTTGAGCCTGTCAAGGAATTTACAATGTTTGGCTTACCCGCAAAAACATGGAGTCACAAAACACTTCAAAATAATCAAAAGTGTTAGCATCTTAGGGGCTTTTTGGGGGGTATAAATGTTTGATTTGTTTGAGCCTGTCAAGGAATTTGCAATTTTTGGTCTACCCGACCTTGCAAAAAATACCACCCCCCCAGAGTCCCCATAGATCCGAAAACTTTTGATTTTTTTTGAGCCTGTCAGTGTTTTGTGACTATGGCCTTTTGAACTTTTTGCTTTTTTTGAGCTTGCCAGTGAATTTGCAAGGTCGAGTAGACCAAAATTGCAAATTCCTTGGCAGGCTCAAAAAAACATTATACTTTTTATACTAAATATATAGTTGATCAGATGTAGGAGGATGTTCATTGAGCATTTTGATCAGATGCCACATGCACATTGCAGATTCAGATTTGTTGGTAACCCCCACCTCCCCTTTTTAAAAAGTGTAGCTTTTTTTTGGGGGGGTACCATATATACATATATATATATACTCTATGTATGGATGGCATAAGTTCTTTTCATCCACACACGGTCAGTGGGTCAGTGGGTTAGGTTGTAGGGTCGCCTTCACGCCTGTATTCACACAAGGCCAAAAGAGACCTTGCCGGATGTATCTCACAAAGAGTCGTTTTTGTGGATGACTTGGGGCTCGACAAAGGATAAGGAGCAGTTGCTTTGACCATCTGTCACATTTTGATCCCAGTTTGCTTCAGCCAGGTATGGATTGGCTCGTTGACCTCAGAGTTGGCGAAAGTGGACAGGCTGTGGAAAGTTTGCTACATGCTATGCTGTCCCGGCCAGCAATAAAGAATTCGGAGTTACACTGGAGTTACCGGTTCTTGATGTTTGAAGCATGCTTTGTGCCATGGCAGGGAACGTATTTGGGACCAAGCTGCAGCACTAGCGGAATGCTGCCTGGCCGGGCGGCTCAGTGATGCGGAACACGGTTGTTGTGGTTCCGTTCCAAGTGGTCGGAATGGTTCCGTTGACTTGCGAAACAGGTGTGTTCTTGGAATAGGGATACCCCCAAATGAACCTTGGGACAAGCAAGAACAGACTGATGGTTATTGGTTGGAAGTGCTTCCTCTTCCAAAACACACTCAATTAAAAGAGAATTCGATGGACAAAGGGTATTGCTTTAGCCTTTAGCTTGAAGCTTGAAGCAGAGCGGGAGGGTAGGCGGCGCGTGGAACACACTAACTCATTTGAGAAAACTGAGTCGTCTTCCGGCGTGGTTGAGATCCAGTTCAAGGAGCAATTTGATCTCAGAAAAGCACCAACTGATTGTCTCAGAGCCTTGGAATCTGGCGCAGGATGAGACCGGATTCGGACGTGGCGTCACACAAGGCACCGAGCAACCTCATGTGGTACGGATACGTTGGTCAAGTGACTCCGGTAAATACGATACACTTACGATACATAAGACATGTGCGAGAATTGCAGGTTTCTTCAGCGATGTTGCCAAAGAGCTACAGCGATCTTCAAACAACAGTGAAGTGCCGATGTGGGTCCAAAGCTCAGAGGTGTCCGACCAGTAGAAATCCAAGACATCGGCGCTTACAGCACTTACAGCTTCTTGAAACCACAACGACTATCAAGTAGACTGAACATCGGTGAGCATTGCCTGCGCACCACTGGCTTGTGACGAACAATGTTCGGAATCGGGGATTTGCGAACAAGAAAATCTTTGGGCAATCCATATGAGAGATTCGCCAGGGGGGCACAATTGCAGGTCTTGGTTTCCAGCCAAGAGATGTTTGAATGACTTTGACTGGTGAATTCAAGCTTTGGCCTATATAGCTTGTTCATGGCACCTACAGAGCGTAGGGGACCATGGAAGGTGCTGCTGAGAGCAGATGTTTCAGGTTTTTCCAGGCTTTCTTTTATGGTTGATGCAGCACCTGGAGCCAAAATTCAGGCGCAGTGCCTGGAATCAGAGGGCGAGTTCTTGCGTAGTCGTCGCGGTCTCATCGTCAGAGTCTAAGACCTTGAGAAGAGCACATGAGACCTCAATGGCAGAAGCACATTGACACTTGAATACTCATTCGCGATGTCTTTATTCTCATTCGATATTGATAGTCTTTATCCATGGCATAGATTCCTCATGATTCCCCCTTCAGTCTCTGAAAAAGATGTAGAAAAATCATGGACGTGCCAAATAGAACCTGATAATCGGACGGCCCGAGGTGCAGCCCTTGGCCGCAGATGACCCAAGACTTCCCGAAGTCTTGGCGCGCTTTCGCGCCCTCGGTCCAGAGCCCAGGGGATGTTGATGGGTTTGGGATGGTTTTGGGTTCGAACAAGAATGAAAAAACATAAAAACATGGTCAATCTTGCCGGTCTATATGTAAACACATCCAAACAGCTGCTTCGAGCATCAAAGATTTATCGTTGGAGCTTCAAGCACATCAGACAGGTTTTGTTCTAGTGCTGGCGTTGCTGGTTCAGCCTTTCATGAGAGCTTGTGTCAAACTGTGATTCTGTGTCTCAAGTTGGACACAGCTTTAGCTGAAGTCCCCCTGCCATTGCCATCCCCGGTTTGATTTCCTTGATGCTGCAAGCAGCTTGCGGCAGCATTGTAAACTTCCAGATCTCTTCTGGTTTGCTGCCCTCACCAAGCAGCGTCCTGCTGAAGACAGGTCGGCTTTTAGCCTTGGCGCTACGTGAATCCTTTGTAGTGCCACTTCCTTTGGGAGCCCGGTGTCCCAACAGGGTGATTTCACTGAGTTCACTGAAATGTTTCATTGACGAGACGGAGCGAAGGAGATCAGTAGACAGTAGATGTTGAAAAAGGCCGCATATCCCAAAGTAGATCGGTCCTTTGATGTAGAACAATCGGTCCAGGACCATCGGTCCAGGACCTTCATTCGGCCATATCAATTGCCATATCAAAAATCGCTTCAATTGTCCCAACAACACGCAGTGCTTCGACAACAGATCACGCAGTGCTTCGTGTGAGGCAACAGTGCTTCGTCAACTTCGAGGCGAAAAGGTGCTGAGTAACGACCGGACGTCACGAGCGGTGCAGCACGTTGATCCACCCATCCGAGCCTTCGGTGCACGTTGATCCACCAAGTTCACCGGCCGCGTGAGCAGGGACGAGATTGTGCTCAAAGGTGATTGAAATGTTACTGACTTCAGCTACTGGTAGTCATGAGCTTTCCCACCAATCCACGAGCAAGTTTGGGTGTTCCTTGGGTTCCTGCACTTGATCTCCATTCAGATCTGGTGGCTCCCACTTCAGTGGTGCTACCTGGGAAGGTAGGTTCTGAGCACCTGCCGCAGCCGGGTGATGGATTGGCTGGGGAGTTTGTGGGCGCTTGCGGGGCTGCCCAGCGAGAAGCACGACACAATGGAATTGGGGGAGAGCAAGAGGGAGAGGAATTGGGGGAGAGGGAGAGAAGGAGAGTGCTAGCTCAATGATGACGGGTTCACAGTGAAGAATTATTGTCAATATCATTTCACAATGCTGTGGACTACAGCTAAGCATACTTTTTCAATAAATCGTTACATCTGACCTGACAACCAATGTTGTGAGAAACAGAAGGAAACTTGACGGAGCAGCCTTCGCAGTGCCGTTAGGCGCTACGAGAAAAGACCTGAGAGAGCGAGAAAGAGAGAGATAGAGAGAGAGAGTTCATTCTTCGAGCGTAGCACTTCATGTCCTGCAGCAGCTCAGGTGCTGCATTTGCAGCTGACCTCAAAGGTTTGAGCCAAGAAGAGAGGCCAAGTGGGGCTGAGATGAAGGAGCGTTTAGTGGAAGGACCTGTGGGATGGGGATCCTTGGAAGGCATGTTTTCTCAGATCCACTTGACATACCTCGGGTTGAATCACTAGAACAGCAGCGTCCGGACACTCACGACCATTAGATACCATCAGCCTGTTTGAGCAGCGTGCTGTACGTGGTTTGTTGGCCATGTGAGTTGGTGGGCCGCCGCTTGGAGGCAAAAACTTGCAGAAGATGGAGGTTGGAGCGGCCGTTATTTGGCCTCAGAGACCATGGGAAGCTTCAACGTCCGGGCCTTGGCTTGGTCGCTTGAAAACATGATGGAACACGGAATCACTGAGGTTTGAGGTACTTTTGGGGAAGGAGAACACCTTTGATATCCTTTGATAATATTTTTTGATTTTCAGGGGGCACTACAAACACATCACCCATGCATTCTTGACCTTTGGAACAATGCCACGTGCAAGATCGTGCAAGGGTCTTTAGTAGCATGATGATGTTTGCACATTAACATGTCTGTTTCTATGTCCCCAGCGAGACTGAAAGGCAGGATGTGTTTTTTCTCGGCCTTTTGTTAAGGACTGGACCTGCAATGCCGAGTTCGTGGCCACGGGCTTTAGTGGCCCCTCCCTGGGAACCTCTTCCTCGTTGGGAACCTCGGGGAAGCCCTGGGGAAAGCATTTCTTCCTCAAGACGAAGCAAGAATTCCAATACTATGTTCCGATCAAGTACCATTTTGATCCATTTTGTATATTTACCATATTATACAATATTATACAAATATGGTTTGTCATATTATATATATATATGCATCATTCGATTTCTTGAGAACTGCAAGGATTCCAACTGCATGTTTGGACGGCATATGTGCAATCACTGCCCTTAAGGTCATCCGAACCTATCCGTTCAGTCACTCTGGAGAGTCAATGCCTTGGATTTGTGTGGGAACGCGACAAAGTTTCCACACAAATAGAGGTTGTTTGTGTCAGTTGGAAGAGTGCTTTTTTTGCAAGGCCTGGAAGAGTTTGTGGAAGCTGCAGCATCCTTTTGGCTGGAGACGGGTGTTCGAGAACAGGCATGGAGACTGCAGAATCTTGCGAGATAAATCAGCATGTTTTTACCTACAGTATCTTGTACAAAATGCGTAGCATGTGTGTGGTTTACTTATTTCAACATGTCACAAGTAACAAGGGCCTTACTACTAGTAACTAGTAACAAGGGTATCTCTACTACTGTTAGTAACAAGGGTCGCTACTAGTAACAAGTGCATCGCTACTAGTAACAAGGGTCTCTCCTTCTTCATTTGTGCTTTAAACGTTCCTTACGTGCGACAACGACGACAGGTTCGATCCTTGCGCCGTGGTTTGCATGATGTCTTGGGCTCTCGGGCTGGAGCTTTATGGCTCTTTTCACCCCTGGAGTTTGGGGCCTTGGCTTCGGAATGTGGTGTCAGAAGCTGTGCAAAAGTTTCCGCTGGAGATGTGACAGGTGACATGATTTGCACAGATCCATTCTCCTCGAAATACCTTTTGGGGCAATCAGTTGGTGCTGTTTGCATGTTCAATTCGATTTCTAATTGGGTCAGAAATGGGGTTTGACCGTGGTGCCGCGCTCCGCAAATCCATCAAGGCTGAGAGAACTCTTTTGTGGTGAAGAGTCTGTGTCATGGACCAGTCAGGACTGAAGGATCTAGGACCTGTAGCAGTACTGTAGAATCAGACACAACTTGGCTTTGATGTATGAGGAATTGAAGCAACGTTTCTTCAATGAAACCCTTACAATGATATACAATGTTTGCGTATGTGCCTCTGCGTGTGTGTGTAATTTTGTTGTTTTGCAATGTTTTCCATAGGGGACTCGCAAAAAATGATAACTGGTGACTTACTCTCTCTATATATATATATATGTATATATATATATGTATTGTTTATTTTTTCTTGAATTGTGGCTTTGTGCAAGCGTGTGTAGAACAATCACTGGAACGACAGCAGTAACAGAACGTTAACAACCTAGAAGTGCACGGGGTTGCCTTGGGATACCACTGCCCCAGTTATAGGCGCGACTTGTCCAAGAGCTCTCTTGCAGTGGCATTCTTGGAACAACATGCAAACACTGTAAAACAATACATAATAGGGAACTGACTAAATCACTAGGAGAAGAAGCCATGTAACATATTTTGACCGTAGCTCATATCTGTTTCTAGATTTGCTCTTTGATGTTCTTCGCGGCTGCACAAGTGCTCAGAAGTTGGTCGCTTGGCTTTGTCCCACTTGTCGGACCCATTTCCTGAGCCTTAAGAGAGCACCGGATATCCTCAGCAAAACGCGGATGTTGTATGGTTTGTAGATGATGTTCGTATGACATTGTATGACTCATAAATTCATAAGGATCAAAACAATTGGTCACAGAGTCCATGTCACCATGTTTGCAAAGAACTGTTCAGTATACCTGTGTCATAGGGTTGGTAGATGATCCGGGGGATTTTCAGTGAATGTCAATGACTTTCATAATAGATGTTCGTTTGCGACGTGTGGATTGCATGTTTCCACATTATGCACATGTTGACCTGGATTGGACCTTGGGTTTTGTTGAAGTAGGGGGGTGCAGAGTACAGTGGAGACCACCGAACAAAGCTGTCCACTTGCATTCGAAGCAGAGCCAGATCAGCTCTGTGTACCTGCTTTGTTCTGACTTCTATGTCCCACTTGTTCCTAGAATAAGTCCACTAGCCTTGCATTTGTTTCATTTGTTGTGCATTTTGCGGACTTGCATTTGTGCGTCGATCCAGCGTCGAGCTGGATGATGGAACTTACTGCAATTTGATACTAGTCTTTCTTCAGCCATTCTGAACACTTAGATTTCTTCTGGAGCAGCCGATTCAGCCGTGTGTACTAGCTCCTCGAGTGTGTGTGTGTGTGTGGTGCTGCGTTAATGTTTCTTCGGTGACACATTGAAAGCATGCAATATCAGCAAGACCATTGACCAAACACATGAATGCCGGTATATGATATCGTTTCCCTGCCGACATGTACACCTGAATTTGTATTATCTATGTGTATACCCTATGCACTGTGAGAATTCTGCAGTAAGAGTAAGAATGACATTCCATGAATATGCGTGTGTTGCTCAGAAGAGCACAGAAGAATTGTTGGGATCATTGTTTTTTTGTAAACCGCTGCCCGTTCCTGAAACTGATATGGAAATGCTCCCGCTTTACATAACACTCCTGCAGCTATGGCTTGTAGGTCGGGTCTAAGTTCAGTCCGCGCAATCTAACCATTTGAGAAGTGTTAGCCGCTGTCATTTTCAGAATGCCGACAGGACCTGTACGACCATTTGCATGCTGCCGGTGGTTTTTCTCGAGACGATGATGTTATGGTGTGGCTCAGAGATGAGCTCCTTGAGATGTCCCAGGCAGAAAATCTAGCTTCGGGTGCGGCTTGGGAGGGCAGATCAGTTTTGCCCGCAGTCAAGGATGAGGTAGCAGCTGCTTCCTGTCGCATCGCATGACGGTTTGATAGTGTGGTTTTTATGTGGTTCCCCCTCTCTCTCTCTCTCTATTTGTGTTTATTTGTTTCGTAGTTAAGTTAGTGTGCAGCTGTTCTTCTCAAATGATGGGATCATGTCTTATACCTGACGCAACTCCACAGTTCCACCAGTTATATATATATATACAATTATTTATACATGTTTCAACAAGCATGCAGAAAAAAGAACACATCCAAGCAGCCAATAATAGAAGTCTAAATTTTATCCAGATGGGGGGTCAGAGTCAGAGAGTCATTTGTTTTGTGTTGCCTGTCCAGATGCAGGTGCTTCCCAAGTTTTTCTTCCCGATCTTCATCATGATGAGTCACACCGCATATTCCTAGCTTGTAGATGCTTGTAGTATATATGTGGTTTCAACAATTGTAGCCTCTCCACCAAGACAAATGCACTTGGCGTCCATCCCGACAAAACCTTTTGTGCGTTGTAATTAAGAGTTCAGATCAATCCTTCCCCCACTTCAAGTTTTGAGGTCCTTTGGTTTCTTCGGTCAATTGCAGCTGTTTGTTCCAACTGGACAGACACAGTGCTGAAAGAGCGCGAGCTCGCTCAGGGGCTGAGAGCGCGCTTCTTGGACTTTGCAACGTCATGCCCCAGACTACCACCAGGAGGCCTGTTCCGGTGGTTGTGGATCACAGGTCAAACTGCTCCAAACTAGTTCAGTAGACGTCCCTGGCTCCGTTCTGTGTGAGTGGGCTTGGTGGTTTCTGTTTCGCTGTCCGTTGGGAGCGCCGCCTAGCGCCTGGACTGATAGTCTTGTGGAGTTAACGCAAGTCAACCATAGTCAACCAGGGTCCAGACTTGTGATCGGATCTGTGTGTTTTGTGATGTTTGGTGGGTGGACAGGTTTTGGCGTTTTCCCGAGATGACCAGGTCTTGCTAGCCTGAAATTGACGGCCTCTCCTGGAGGAGGACTGGGAGTGCTCCAAGAGACTGTGATGTTTCTTTTGTGATTCGCCTCCAACCTAATAGCATTCTTGCTCCTGGTAGTAAGGCCAGGGGGCTACTAGGAGCGTCCTTGCTCCTAGTAGCGATGCCAGGAGCCCCTAGTAGCGTTCTTGTCACTACTAGCTTCTTGCTCCTAGTAGAACCCTCGGGCGTCTCATTGAATGCACACGAGCTTGTGCGTGAACCTGTTAGGACGGTTTCCCAGATCCCGAGCTTGTGCGAACCAGCTCTACTTGCCAAAGTATGACACACGAGAGGACCACCGGCCATCACGCTCACACTCACACACTTTCAGAAGCAAAAGGCATGAGACATGCATGCTGTTTTTCTATGTCAGTCAGTCTGGACATGAGACACGCAAGACACTAATTACCCACATGGATTGACCAATCTTCAGGAGCTCCACGAGAAATTGACAGAAGCCTTGTTGGCGTGTGAAGGGCATCATGACACGGATCATTGAGCTGCTCACACGGGGCGTTTAAGAGGAAGCTTGCTTACACGATCTTCAAAAAACTGCAAACATGTTTAAACTTATCCGGAAGGTGCCACATCCAAAGGTTCACAAGATCTTTTAATTTATTCTCATGAACCTTCTGCATGATTCATGCTGGTCAAGGCATTGAATATTTGCCATGGCCAGATCCGCATTTTCCAAAAGGCGGGACGCTCGACGGTGTGGGTATGTGATGCCGCCAAGTTCCAATCATGTTCTCGTAATGACTACGCATTGTTGTTGTGTAAATTCGGCATCAACATGGGCATCAATGAACTTATTGATGAACTGATACCCAACCCCGCCATTAACAAAATATAATATATTATGAACATTGGTATTATATAATAGACTAAACAAAAAAATTGATAATAAGCCTTTTTTTAATGATACGGCGACCACCGAGAACAGTGGCTTTGAAAGTGACCGCAGTGAGCAAGACAGAGACAAGAAAAAACCTTGTGCAGAGGAATGAAAGGACATGAAAAGACCCATTCCAGCCAGAGCTACACGGTTAGGGTGGAAAGCAGGAGGCAGCTGGCGGGCGGCCGCATCCCCCACACCAGCCCTGAGCAAAAGACATGATCACAGGGCCATTCCCAAAGTTTTGGAGGCGTTTGAGGGTCGAAGTCACTCCGGCTGCCACCACTGCAATCGTTTTGGAACTCACCTCAACTGTCCACACGCAATGCCCGATCCTTCAACAAGCGTTGCTTGCCGGTCCGGCGCCAGAGCCAAGAGTGCATGTACTGAAGGATGATGCCTCATTCCGACACCTTTCGTGTCCGCGGTTCTTCATTGGCTTGGGATGCTACGCTTCAGCCAACAAATACAGCAAGCGACAAGCGAGCAATCTTTCTGACACTTACACCACGACGCAAATAGAGCCACGCGAGTTCCAACGACGACGGAGCCCCAATTGACCCCGCAACAGTCCGGATCCAACACAATCTGGTGAACAAAGAGGACAGTCGAACCACACGGCTGCTGAGTCAGTCCATCGATGTACGCATCCAAAGCAAAATGTATTCGACAACGGAGCTAAACACTCGAAGCCGACCGGACAGGAAATCCCAACAAAACGAAGCAACAAGACACATGCACAAACAGTTGCTACCTTTGGGGTAGTCATGCTTGAAACCAAAGAGCGACGAAACCAGAACAGGTTTTTGCAGCAATAGACATCCTTTCATGTCAAACAAACTGACAGCGGCAGCGCCCACTACAAATGCAACAATCTTAACCCTACTGGTACTACTCCACCCAACATGCTGATGCACCAGAAGGCATCATGTGTCTCAAAGCCTTGTGATGATGACGACATGAACGTTTCTGTCTTCATGTTAATATGCATGTGCCAATGTGTGTATGAACGTTCTAGTGCATGTGCAGATGTGGATATGCACTCACTCACCCACCCACTCACCCACCCATCCAACAAAATGACCATGACACGGAAAGCAAAAGACTCCAAAGCGCATGATTCCTTACGGACGCTGCTACGATGGACTGGACTGAGAAGGTCAAGCCTGACTATACACTGGGCATACTGGGAGGGGGGTGTGGCTTTGGAACAACAATCATAATCCTCATATGGGTATAAAATCTTACAAAATTGAACATCCATTAAGCAAAGGTTACACATATATTTCTTTATCGTTGAATGAATGAATAAATATACATATTTTGATATAAAATGGTTTTGTTGATTTAAATTGATTTAAATCTAATACAAAAGAAATTCGATTGATTTAAGGATTTATATTGTATTATTGTATTGTGTTATATATACAATATATAGATACAATATGTTTTTATTGTATAGTATTTATATAGGTGTGTATTTTTGTTGGCGTATATTTATCGATATAGTGGTTGGAAATTTGATTTGCATGAATTATATATTCGAATTATATTCCTAGGTATAAGAATTAGGTATTTAGGGGACATATGTGATTGATTTTTGTATATATATATATATTTATGAATTAATGATTAGTGATATATAATATAGACAATTAAATGATATATATATATATTTAATTCGATAATATGTTTGTATTTGGTTGAAACAATTTAAACAAAAAATGTATTAATATTTTAAATATGGTAATTAAAGGATATATGTTTTATGAATTACATTATATTCGCTTTATATTTGAATTTTTCCCTAAACAGTGTGGGCACATTGGGGGGTTGTTACGGTAAGTGAAAAGCAGGTGTGCTTAGATCGCTGTTCCCCGCGGGTGTGAACGGCGAATTCATTGCTATTTACAGTACATGCATGCCTCTCGACATCGTCCATGTGCATTTCGACTGCGCAGGCTCGCAAAATCTGCCTGCCGGCAGCGGGTGCTTCTAGCGACTGCGCTCTCGTTGTGGTACCGTGCGCATTTTGGTACATGGTGGTCACTTTTCGTGGCAGGCGCAAGGGAAACCTCGTGTTTTGGTGCTCTAAAGTCGACTTTTCGTGACAGGTGCAAGGGATCGGAGCTGTTTTACTTCGAAGTGCACTTTTCGTGGCAGGTGCAGCACTTTGGACATGGCGGTGATCGTCAAGGAGCTCAGATTTCGTGACAGGTGCAGTGAATCGTGACTTTTGGACATGTGGCTCGTTTGCAGATTTCGTGTGAGATGAAAAAGGCAGATGAAAAAGGCAGCTGAGTGAAGTGGCTGAGAGGGGACTATGTCCATATCTAGAGTGGCAAACCTGCCTGGGATTTTGTTAGGTTTTCATGGGCTTGCCATAGGTTTACATAGGATTTGTATAGGTTTTCTTTAGGTGACATGAGTTGGCACAAAACTTGAAGCAGCATTGAATAAAGCGGCCCTCCCAGCACATCTTTGATGACCCTCGATGTGCAGATTTCGTGGCAGGTGCAGCACTTGCTGAACCTCGAAGTGCAGACTTCGTGGCAGGCCCAGCACTTGGTGATCCTCAATGTGCAGATTTCGTGGCAGGCACAGCACTTGGTGAACCTCGAAGTGCAGATTTCGTGGAGGTGCAGCACTTGGTGAACCTCGAAGTGCAGATTTCGTGGCAGGCCCAGCACTTGGTGAACCTCGAAGTGCAGATTTCGTGGCAGGCGCAGCGCTTGGTGAACCTTGAAGTGCAGATTTCGTGACAGGTACAGCACTTTGTGAACCTCGAAGTGCAGATTTCGTGCAGCGCCCACTCTCGCTCTCCCACTTTCACTCACACTCACACTCCCTCGCAGTCCCACTCTCACTCACACTCGCACTCACACTCACTCTCCTACTCGCACTCTCACTCACTCTCACTCTCACTCTCGCCGACACTCACTCTCACTAGTGAGAGTGGGAGAGTGAGAGTTTGAGGAGTGTGAGTGTGTGAGTGTGAGTGTCACACTCGCACTCACTCACTCTCCCACTCTCACTCACACTCACACTCCCTCTCATCCACACTCACTCACACCCACCTTCATTCACTTCATCACCACCATCACCTCTCTGGACCCCATTGCGTCTAGATCTCTAGACTTTCTGCTTACAGACCTCACACACACTGTTTGGGGTCTCTTGCCGGGATTTTTTCCAATATAGAAGTTTATTTTGTATTTTGATTTTTTGTGGTTGTTTGTAGAGATATTGATATATATATATATATATATATTGTAATTAAATGATCTTATTTTTGATTGGATTTGGTGAATGTTTGATTGAAGAATTGATTTATATATTATATTCTGGATTATATTCAAAATATATTTCTGAGCTTAATTTCTCGATCCGATTACGACAAAGAAATGTATTTATATTACTTAATGGAAGAAATAAGTTATTGAGATATCTAGTATTTAGTTGCAAATAACATATAGAAATAGTAATATTATCCCGGCAAGAGGCCCCAAACAGTGTGTGTGAGGTCTACAAGCAGAAAGTCTAGAGGTCTAGACGCATTGTGGTCCAGAGGTGATGGTGGTGATCAAGGTGGGGATCGTGGTGATGGTGGCGGTGCTGGTGAGTGAGTGAGTGAGTGAGTGAGTGAGTGGGAGTGGGAGTGAGAGTGAGAGTGAGAGTGAGAGTGAGAGTGAGAGTGAGAGTGAGAGTGAGAGTGAGAGTGAGAGTGGGAGTGAGTGTGAGCGAGAGTGGGAGAGTCAGTGAGTGTGAGTGAGAGTGGAAGAGTGAGTGAGTGTGAGTGTGAGAGCGAGTGTGAGTGAGAGTGAGAGTGAGTGTAAGTGAGAGTGAGTGTGAGTGAGAGTGAGTGTGAGTGAGAGTGGGAGGGTGAGTGAGAGTGAGTGAGAGTGAGAGCGGGAGAGTGAGAGCGGGAGAGTGAGTGAGTGTGAGAGTGAGGGTGAGGGTGGGGGTGAGGGTGTGAGTGTGAATGTGAGTGGGAGAGTGTGAGTGAGAGTGAGTGTGAATGTGAGTGTGAGTGGAAGTGGGAGAGTGAGGGAGTGTGAGTGTAAGTGTGAGTGAGAGTGAGTGAGTATGAGTGGAGTGAATGTGGATGAGAATGATGAATGAATATTGAAATAAAAAGAAAAATTGTTTATTCGGTATAGATATTATAAATATATATATTGATATTGTTATTTGTTCGATTAATATATTATAATATCGCATTTGAATGTAAAATTTTTATTTATTGTTTTTTGATCTATATATGTATAGTTTATTATTTTATATTTATAATATTTTATTTGTTTGTTGTTATATATTCGTAATATTTATAATTTTTTAATAAAATATATTTGGATATATTATTTGCATCTAACAGAGATTTAAGTCAAGGATGGAATTTGATATAAATCAGAAATTACGAAATTTGAATTCTTTAGCGATTATTGTTATGTCCAAAATGATGCACCTGCCACGAAAATTGCATTTCGCTCAAAGCATGAGATTTCTCTTGCGTCTGTCACGAAAAATAATCCCTCTGTGCGAAAATGCAGATGGCATAACGAGAGCATAATCGCTAAATATTTGGAGGAATTCGAATAAAACATAGAAGCGAATTAGCCATCTTTTTTAATAATATTATTATAAGAACCCCTATATATCCCCACTATTGAGGGGGAATTAATAGCAATATATTTTTCAATCAAATATATGTGAATTTTTGAATAATATATATATATTATATATATATTGATTATATAATGTGTGTTCTTGTGAATCAGATTGGCGAATTTGCAACGATCTCCCTTGGCAAATGCTATCTCCTAATACTCGAAGAGGTAACCACTT